ATTTGATCTTCGAATCACTTGCTCTATATTAAGGACGAATCGTATGAAGGGTGGTAAAATATTTCTTCTTTGTATTTCTTATAATTTAGTTAGTAACAATCAACTTTGTACGTTCGTAAACAAATTTTAAAATAAATAGTTTTTGATTGTAAATTCAACGAATGTAAAAATTTGAACCATTTGACCTCAAACTACGTTGATGCACCCGTTGACGTTTACTGCATTACATTAAAATTGTTATTACGTTAAAATATTTACTTTTGTGACATTGTGTTAAGTTAACGTTTATATATTTTCTCTTTTAATGAGATCACACAAAAATATCAGCCACTTTAAACAATATTGTTTAGTACAATAAAACTTAATCAAAATCTGAACAAGGATGTTTTTTTGATCGTTTGCATTACTTTGAATTGAAAATTACGTTAATGTGTCTATTTATATTCGGTTAAATTAGTTAAAATTTTTAGCTTAAGATGATATTGATGTGTCTCTTTTTCATCAATTGGATCGTTCCAAAATGTTCTGAAATTAGGATCACGTGAATGCGTGTATTTACTTTCGCTCCAATCACAGTTACATTCTTTGAAATAAAATTTGAAATTCCTAAAAAATAATACATTTCAGTCATCTCAAATCAATTTCAACATCATTATTATAACTCCATCCGTATTTAAATTTCTCAACGTAAAATCTTGTATACTTTGTTATAATACACGAATAAATGTAAATGAAAAATTTGTGGTTAATATTTCACAAGCGAGGAACGAAATCGCTACAAACCTACGTCCCCCAAACAGTAGAGTCTTATCAGAGTTGATGACAGCCTAAAATTTTCCATTATACCCAAAGGCTAGGGGCGGTTATTAGATTGGAAATTCGAGACGGGTAAGAGTGAAAAGTAAGAGGGGCTAGGCCTTAAAGAGAAGGAAAAGTCAAGAAGGGAAAAAAAAAAGTAAAATGTGCAAAAACTACGAAGCGTGTACTAAACGCTTTTGGGTCACTGAACACGAATCCAAAGCCCAAATTTCTGTTTTTATTTTACAGTCTTATTATACCATTTTGTAATTACAGACACGAATGTTGAAAAAATTTCTTACCCTCGTGACTTTTCGGACACGAGAGAAAAATAATCTGCGAAAAGTTCCTAAACCGCACCCCCAAACTAAGTCATTACAGACGATGCTCTTACAGCAGCGAGTCTTAAAAAATTCGCTCTTTCGTATCACTGTTCCTCCCCGAAAAAAAGCATCGGAAAAGCACGGCTTGCCGGACGATTTCGTCGGCGTAACCACCAGCGTGACGGTCCTCTTCCGCCCCAAAATTTACGAGCCCCGGCTCTATACGGTACACACCACGGCGCCAGCGATTTCTCCGCAGTCTGCCCGTGTATAAGAGGGCGGGGAACATTGCGAGTGTCGATTCAAGCGTGAAACGCCGATATTAATGATGTACGAACTGGAAGGAGCAGCTCCACATACTCGCAGATATAGGCCCGCGGATGAGCTCTTGCGCGCCGTAAATGACTATTGGGAATTCTACGGTCCCTCGCTCGAGATTCGGTGATGAAGAGAATTGGCGTATACTCGAGAGGTCGGAATTTTCGCGAAGACTTTGTTTCTACTGCATTGGTATATTTTATTACGCTCGTCTATTTATTTTCAAGACATTTTTCTCCCTGTATACAAAAAAAAATTCAGTCTCATTGTCTAATACGACCTTCTTATGCAGGAGAAAAAAAGCTCCTCTGAAATAGTACTTTTCACCTAAAGATTTTGAAATAGATTCTGAATCAACTGTACAGTTGAAGTAAAAACAATCCGATTTTATGTGGTAAATCGGCAGCTGAATTAATAGTTCATATTCATCGAAAAATTCCAATAAGTAATTTTTAAAGTACAGTTAAAAATAATAATAGCTGTAAGTATTTAGATAGTGGCCACAAAATATCAATGCAACATTCGACTATTCATGAGACGCGTCCACATGTAGTCGAGAACAATCAAAATCGTACCAAAAATAATCCACGCGAAAAATCAAAACCAAATCGATTGACTATAGCTCAAAGCCTCCAACCACATTGTAGGTACACGATGTATAAGAAAAAAAAAGTAAAAATTAACACCCTCTCGATCTCGCTTTCTCAGCTCTGTTTGCCTCGCAAGGAGTTAGCGAGCGCAGCCGCGATAACTATCCGCGTAAAACACGCGCAACCGAAAAAGCAAACAACCGAGCAAGCGAGCGAGGCTCTTCTACGGGCGGCCCTGGTTTCTCACGTTCATATACTTACCCGTCAAATATTTACTTGGCTCGATTTTCGCTGCCTTCGCGGATAGGTAATCGGCTTGATCTTTCAATTTTCGCGCGATGAGGCCGTGCCGACAGGGGTATGCAATCCCATCCCTGCTGATGCATCGTATACTCGAAGGAGTCCATTTAGAAATTGTGTCTTTGAAATTAATGGTATCACGGGCCGAGCGCTGGATTATCTTTCGATTAGCACCACTACGTGGAATCGAGATTCTCTGTTTTTTTTTTAAATTTGTATTTTTTTGTATCCCCCTCCCCACCCCTTTAAATAGGAAGCTTTTTCTTACTGTTTGTTACTGTTTACAGTATATACGGTACTTTTGAATATTTGCCTTGAGCGAGTTAAAAATGACCAAGTACCGTTGCGTACGTGTGATCATGGATGTTAAAAGTGGAGTGAGTCAACTCGGTTCAGTTGGCAGGAGATGATGGATTTCACGTTACCAAATACGTGAGAAAAAACAAAGAAACAATAAAATAATGAATTAGTACGTGACATTCCCGTTCGGGACACTGCGTACAAACAATAAAGTACTCAGGAAATTTTTATCCCATCGGAGTGTCATTGCATTGGCAATTGGTGATATTCAATATAAAGTTGTTATGAACAAATTTCTCAAAATTGTTTCTGGGAAAGCAATTGCTTCCAGGTTCGAGCGGATA